ATATATAATAATACTACTTTGAACTTCTAATTTTATGTTTGTACATTTTAAGCTTTAAATAACTTTATATACGCATTGAAAACAATTTGTAAGAAAATGGTTGAAATTTGTTAATTTATACTCAATTAGTATAAATTTTTATAATCATGTACTTAAATATCCACATATTTTATATAAAGAATACAAAGTTGTAAAAAAAAAGAACTTATGCATGCAATTTCATTCAATTTTCATAAACATTTAAGATTACTTTGTTCTTAAAGCACGAATATAGCAGACTATTTGGTTTCACAATTTGCATGAAATGTATAAAAAGTTTATATAAAGGATACTGACAAAGTTTTTCGACTAAGAGGCATTTTCAAGCATTACTGATTTTGTAATTTCCACACTTGTTCTTCTAACTCCTTTACACGAAGTCGACTATTAGCAAGTTGACGACGCATCAATCTTAATTCATCCGCTTGACGTACATATGCCAATCTAAGTTCTGCTTCGTTGTTAGGAGGAACATCAATTGTCTCCATAACTTTATTATTGCTTAGCGATGTTGTTATTATATTATTCTGTAGAAAATAGTTCTACTTGTAATTGGCTTTATCAAATGTGGGGTCATAATCTTTAAATATTAATAAGAAAATAGATTATTTGTTATCGTAAATTCTTACTTGCAAATTTACGTTGGCAAATTTCTGTTGTAATTGTTGAAATTTAGTGCTCTGATTGCTGGATGTCTTTTGACTTTTTTCTGTTATATTGTGCAATTCTACTGGTCTGTAGTCAGGAACAGTTTCAGTAGATAAAAATGCAAATTTTTTCTTATTATTTAAATCTGTTGCTGGAGGTATTAATGGTTGCTTGTAAATGCGTGGCTTGTGCGTTGAAATACTGCCACCTATAAGAGTAACAATAAAATAAGAATAATAATTCTATTATCGCACACAGAATCATTTATGAATATCTACTTAAATCTACACTAAAATGATTCCATACCTGTTTTAAGTGATATTAATATTGGAGGATTATTCATACCACTAATCCAATCTCTTGCTGAAAGTGCAGGACAGGTACCTATAGTATCAGGATATAAGTCTTCTTGAAATTGATCGCTCTATAAAATAGAACATTTCCATTTAAACTTGTATACTTAAAATTATGTAAATTTATGTCAAGTAACATTTTTTTAAACTATATTACTTGTAATTATAGGTTACATCGATAAGCAATATGTAGAAAATATAATATAATGTAATATGTCATTGAGTTTATTCTTTTTGTTACCTTTCGAGGTACGATCATGGAAATTGGTTCACACATGCCTCGAGTTGCATGTAATTTATAAAATCTAAAGACCTCACAAATACTTGTATTTATGCCTCTTTTTGGCATTACTCCTAATCCTCTTTGTGGATTACCAGAGATAAATTGACTGAGATAATGCATCCATGGAACTTCATTAACTACCTCATAATACCGAATGTTACCATCACCCTGTCGAGAACAAATGTCAACATTTTTATTTAAAAATATTCACTATAGTAATAATTACTACAGTGAAAACCATACCTGAAAATAAGTAAAAAGAAACTTTTCTTTATTCCAATCTGTATATTTATTAATATTAAAACAATATTATCTTCTTGGATGTATTTATCTTAATACATTTATTACCTTTCCTGCTAAATAGACCATATTTGTATCATTGTCAAAATATGGGAAAATAACACCGCTTGATGAATCTATAGTTTCACGAGTAAGAGGAGCTGTTAAATCATGTTGACACCAAATTGCGTATTGTCTATCTGAATGTCTACTGAATCCAGTAGTTAATAAACGTCCAGATCCACCAAGAAATACCACTTTACTTGCTTTGGTTCCAGCATGACAGATTCCTTCCTGAATTAAACATAGCATGAAAGAAAAAGATCATCTAATATACAGCATCATTTTTAGAACTGAGAAAGGCCACTGCTCTTTATTAATACTGTCATTCCTACCACCGCCTATAGTCGGCATTCAGCCAACTGGGCTGAGGGATGTTGATATTAATCAGTACCGTCATTAGTGGACATTATAACTCCATATCTTGATCAATGATCGATTATAGGATTATATTCATAAAAAATATTATGTAATTAGAATTAGAAAGTTTTGCAGAAATTTGCTTTTGGTATATCTGTTAATTTCATAAATAAGTGATACAGTGATACCACGATCATGGCCAACTCTGCCTGTTACTGAAATCATGCTCGTGGTAAACGCCAACTGTGTCAAAAAAAAATGGTTAAATAAACATAGACAAAAAGAATAAAGGAAAACATCATATGACATAATAAGCCCTAACTTTCTATTCTATTACTTTGTATGCACATGAACCAATGCACCTACAAAGTGCAATTGCACTATATTCTTTAAAAATTAAACTGCTACTCGGCTTTTCTACCAACCCTCTATATGCCGTTTTCTCATCTCCGCAAAAACCCTAAGTTTGTTCTTGATTTTTTTATGAGAGACTACATTGTGCATCCGTATAATACCACCGGTGGTATTATTGTTTTATAAAGACGAATTTTTGTATTGCATTCAACGTAATCCATTCAACGCCGTGTATGGCCTGTATGTAGTCTTTTTTTTTAATTTCCATGTCCACTTCATTATTCCGTGATAATTGTACCAATATATTTAAATTCTTTAATCGATTCAAATGTTAGATTAGCTACGCTTAGCTCTGATTTACGTTCTGTCAATAATCTACTCATAATCATATACATATTTTGTTTTCTCTTTGCTAATTTCGAGGTCTACCTCTTTTGCTGTGTTAATTAGGGTTTTTGCCTTTTCTGCTAATATTTCTTCCTCATCTGCAACTACATCTACACATATCATCCACAAAGGTTAGAGTTTGTATATTCAATGTCATGCCTTGCTTACGTGTCAATATGAATCGCATTACATATTCTAGAACTAGATTAAAAAAATTTGAAATATTACTTCAAACATGTACAAATATAACTGCAAAAAATTTGCAGTATTGTTGTTTGCAATATTGTAAATTAAAATGTTTCTTTAGATCAAATTTCCAAAAATCACCTCGAAAACAGATGCTCATACTAGAATTTGAGAATAGAATCTTGAGAGACAAATCTTGTAATAAGTATTATATAATAATATTCTCAGAGACACACATTCACTCAATTGAAAATTTGCAATCGAAGACGAAACATCTAAGAGAGTAAAAGATTTCAAAATTTATTCTTCGTTTTAAAAAAAAATAAAGATGAAAAAATTATATTATTACTTTAATAACAAGTGATATACATATATATGTTGAAATTTCTTTCGTAACTTTTTGCAAGATCGAAAAGAAACGGCAAAATCGTTTCTTAGAGAGTTATGTAACAGTGAAGAAGAAATTTATTACAGCTTCTTCCTTTCTGAATGTTTCAGTTTTATCGTTTACAAAATTGCCACAAAGAAAAATGTAAATATATAAAAAAATTCAGAGAAATATTAGCTAAAAAATTAGTAGGGCCGCAAAAAGATACAACAAAATCTTATTTTACCCGTTATCAGCATAATATTGCCGTTCGAAAAAATGCTTCTGACATAAACATTAGACGCATATGTACATTATATTACTTAAATAAAAGATGTCATTCAGACTGATAAAAGTCAAGAGAAAATGTAAAGAAGAAAATAACTTTTTTTGACAAATTGACCGAATTGTTTTGACAAACTTGAAACTTCATATAGATTGTTTTGAAATTTTACAATTTAAGATAATTTTCTACAAAAACCATGTTTTTTCTTATATCTTTCATAAGTAGTCAATATAAACGTCACTCATATACGGGTAACGCGGCGGTTGAAACGTTAATAGTACCCAATTTTTTTTCTTTAATCAATCGAATCTTTTTTTATCTTGCGTATAAAAAATACTAACTCCACGTCATCGAAGTACCAATAATTTAGGAGATATTTAACATTTTATATTGTTACATTATAGGGTAACCTTACATGGGGGAGATTAAATATAAAGAATGTGATTTTGTCAATTTTTTTTTAGATAAGTAGAAAATAATTAAAATTTTGCGAAAACAATCTATAAAGAATCTAAACTATCTATCCAGATAAATGTACTTTTACGAATAATGGAGTATTCAATCTCATAGAATGTAGAGTCTCAGCTCTATAAAATAACGATATAAAATATCAAATATCTCGTGAAGTGTAGATATTTCAATAACTTTGGATTAGTACTTTTATATGTAGCATAACAAAGGAAATTGATTGATTTAAAAACAAATTGGGTTGCATTAAAGAATAAAGTGCGATTGCATTTGACAGGTGTATCGGTGCATCGTGTATCTATAAAAAATAAAAAGGAAGTTAGGAATATATTATGCCATATGATGTTCTTCTCTTTTTTTTTATTTTTGCTTAATAAAGAGCAGTAGCTTGTTCCAGTTCTGTATATTTCGAAATATAATTATATTCGTAATAAGGTAAATAACTATACGATGTCAAATGATATTGATTTGTAAAAGAGTAAAAGAAAAATTGTACTAAAAATAAAAAGAGAATAAACGAATGTTATATATCAATTTCTATAAACTTACCGAAACTATAATGCCAGATCTAGGTTCGAAGACACGTAGTCTTTTATCTTTACATGTTGTTGCTAATAAACTTCCATCCCGATTTAAAGATAAAC